TTACCAACCTTGAAGTGGTTAACAGCTGCAAGATTAGAGAGAGCACTAGTTACGAAAAAGGTAGTGTTGCACTTCTGCTTGGAGGATTGCTGCATAATCACTTGCATGTTAGTATGCAGTTATATCACGTTAACATACATGAGGGTAAGTGGGAGTATCAAGGTTAGTGGTGAGCAAAAATTTGTGCTGATAGAGGGAGTATAAGTCGAGAAAGCTTTTTGTGAGAGGAGGTAAGTGTCTATTGGAAATACATTGTTGCTTGTTGGTGTCAGACTTGCACTCATTTGCAATGTGCCCTATTTTATAACAAATATAGTATCTCTTCTTCCATATGTCTATTAACCTCCTGTCACCTTTGGTGGACTCCTGATTCTGGTCAGTTACCACTGGTTTCAACTTTAACTGGTTATTCTTACAATTGCTAGTTATACTCCCTCCATGGGATTCTATATACTGTTCTGCCAGGTTGATCATCCCACTCCACATCTTTTGGTGCTCTCTGCTTTAAGAAGTGACATGTCAGTTGAGCAGGTGATCATGAGCTATTCATGTATTAGTAGATCTGCCAGTCCTTTAAAATTGTTTTCACACTTGGCCAAGTCAGTCTATCTTGTGAAGTATCTCAGTAGATGTGCCACAAACTGAAATACAGTTTCTCCAGTGTCAAGTTTGACTTCTCTGAATTTCTGGTGAAAACCTTCCTCGGTAAGTTAATAGCACTTTTTTACTTGTCATAGACCATGACATCTTCTGATGTCATGCCAGCATACACTTGTACACCTTTTATTGTGAGAAGGAGGCTGAGACAGAATACCCAGACACCTTTGCACCAGTTTTGACTTTGGGCAAACCCTTCATATCTCTCCAAGAAAGCATCTGTATCATCTTTCTGTTCATCAAATTTGGGGCAACCAAGGTTGGCTAATCCTGACCCCCACTGTCTTCATCTTTTTATTGGGTGAGCTTTGATATCTCAATTTATGCTCTTATTCTCTCTCTTTGTAGTCTCTCCTTTTCTTTTTCTCAATATATATATATATATATATATATTGAGAAAAAGAAAAGGAGAGACTACAAAGAGAGAGAATAAGAGCATAAATAATATGTCACTGCCAATGCTATTCTCTTTATTTTGTTTTTCATCCTTTTGTATTATTTTCAGTTGAGTAGTTTTTGTGTTGTGTTAGGGTGTCTACTCTTAAATTGTGCCCAATTTGCATTTTCTTATTTTCTTTCCATTCTTTATTTAGTTTCACTTATTGCGATTGTAAGCTTGTACCTCCACTTTGCATTTTTTAATTTAAAGGGTTATTTTTGTGTTTTATTTTACTGTAAGTTCTATTAATAGTGTATTGAAGAATTTTGAGTTCACATTTTAGTTTATGAAATTAAGTGTAAAATCAAAGAGTTTTCTTTTAACAATGTAATTTGTAAGGTATATCCTTTTAAATACATTTAAAAGTTGTTTTATGCCTTTATAGTTCAATGAAAATCATTGTTAAAGGGTTTTTATTATGCCTGTTTCATTTCAAGTGTTTTTGGAATATAGTAAAGTGCATCTTGACAATGTTGCATGTTTAATGATGATTAGTTTAAAATTGAATTTACTTACTATCATGGGAGAAGCTTGAAAGAAAGAATAGAAGAAAAGTGTGTTATGCAAGCATATAATATGTTTTCTAACTGCTTTAGTGATATAGAAATTTTATTTAAACTTTTCTGGTTATGTAGTTTAGAGATGTTTATATTGTTGAAGGATATTTTTTATTTATCTCATGGATTCTCTGCATCTAGTATTTTACAATGTACATCTTCCAAAATAGTGATGAACACAACTGTAAAAAGTAAATGTTTAGTGAAAAGAAAAGTGTGGCGTATAAACATATCATGCATTTACTACCTTCTTAAATTACTATAGTGTTATCCTGAGTTTATCATTTATTCAGATTATTTGCTGTTTTTACATAACATGTGGTCAGAAAGTCATTAAGTTAGTTTCATTCTAGTTATCTTTGTTTCTTTGCCATTTTTGTTAGATCACACCATGAGTGGAATGGTTATAATGGTGCACATTATACAATAAAGTAGACAGTAGTGTCCTTCAATGTTATGTCAGTTAGTGTCTTGAAGTTATGGTCTACCATGTGTTTGAATGAAAATAACCTGTGATGTGGATAGCACTAGTTGCTCTGGGTAAATGTGACGTTACCTGTGAAGTAAGTATTGAATTTAAAACAACCTGGTAAATAATCTTGGGCTGATCAGTTTGAAGTAAGAGTTGGTTCAATTTAGTATAGTTTTCTTTCCTCCCCCTGCATTCTACATTGGATTTGTCCAGCAAGGAACCTTTCACTAGTTTAGTCTTTAGTGATGTCTTAGTGTTGTGATCATTTGATTATTGTGTGAGGTTTACAAGTGTAAAATTGTCCTGTATTATTATATTTGCATTTATTTTATGAATAATGGTGAATGTAAATAAGAAAAAGTCATACACCATTAAGGAAAAACCAACAATTATTGAAAGAGTAAAAAGTGGCATTTCAAAAGTGTAAAGTAAAAGGAAGTTGGGCAGGGCAAGATTAAGGTTTAGTGGGGCCCTATGCCCAGGTACTATTTGGGAATAATAATACTTACTTTTGCCTCTATTCTGCTAATTTCTTTACTTGGGTGGTTGGTGGGGCTCCTGTATGACCGGGGCCCTAGGTGGCCTGTGTGTTAATTGGTACTGGAGTTGGGTATTCTGAATGGTATTATACACAGATGGATAGCAGAAGAAGGAAGGCTATGTTTATTCTTAAACAAGTTGGATGAAACTCCAAGGTTGGAAAGGAAGAAGACAAGGCTCTGCAAGAACAAAAGAGCAGATGATTGTTTATACACATGATGTGTTCAGAAACATAGCTTAGGTTCACCAGTGACAGAACCTGCTCTGAAGATGGAAGTTGAGAAATTTTTCCAGGACCTAAAACTTGAAGGCAAATTTTGTGCCACTAATGGATGGCTTTAGCACTGGTAAAAATCTCATGATATTGGGGAAGTAACAATTTCTGGTAAATCAAAATCATGTGATACTGAAAAGTGATACTGAATTCCCTAAAGAATTCCAATTTGTCACAGAGAAGGAAGTTTACTGTGATGAGTAGCTGTACAATTGCAATGAATCTACCTTATTTTATAGGATGTTACTTATGAAATCCTTGGACCTAAAATCAGCTCAAAACAAAACAAACTTGAATTAAAGTAAGGACAGAGTCATGCTTTTGTTTTGTATCAGGAAAAGTAAGAGTCCAAGATACTTTAAATTTGTCAATTTAAAAAACTTCCTGTAAAATACATGAGCAGCTTAAATGCTTGGATAACTGCAAACTTATTTTTGACCTGATTTCATTACAGTTTTGTTCCATCAGATTGCTAGTTCCAGCATTTGCCAAAGAAACACTTGGAACTGAAGGCACTGTCATTTTTAGATAACTGTCTGGCTCACCCATCTGCTGACAGTCTTATATTCAAGGATGGAAATTTAAGGATTTTTATCCAGAAAAATACCATTACTCTAATCCATTACCTTGGTTAAGGAATCATCCATGCTTTCAAAGTAAACTATAGACAGGAGTTACTGTTAACTTTGCTGTCTACAGAAAGTGAAGGTTCTGAATTTCTAAAACAACTAAACTTGAAGGAAGTGGCACACAAAGTTGGTGTTACGTGGAACTTTATTTTAAAAGTTGCCATATGAAATTGCTTGGGAAAATGTCATTTGTTGTAAATGAAGAGGAGGTGATTCAAGAAGATAATGATAAAGTGGTGGAAAATAGGCCTACTGCAATGGCAACAGATTGTGATCTTTGGACAGTTAGGGATATCCTTGGGGAGCCAGAACTTGTAGAGAACATGATCAAATAATGGGTTGATATTGACAAGGAAGAGCCAGTGTACAGTGTTGTCTTGACTGATGAAAACATTGTTGAAAGTGCCATCAAGGAAAAGGGGACCAAAGGAAGGACCAAGAGTTGGAGGATCAAAATGAAAAGCATGTTGATCTGCCTAATGCTTAGGAAGCACTAAGCGGCTGGGTAACTGTGATTACATAGCTAGAGGAACAACAGCTTGTTGAGCCAGTGAAACTTTTGCAATTAGCATCTCTGAAAAAAATAATCTAGCAGAAAAAATTTGTAGTAAAAAAAAACAAAAAATTACTGGCTTTTTAAAGATATGATTCAACTAAATAAATTCCATGTACTATCTTTATATTGATGTCAATACATATAATTTTGTATTTTGTTGTAGCAATTAAAGAAAATGAGAAAAATTAAAACAGTTGTATATAAATACTGTATTGGGTCACCATGCCTCCCCCAAAATCTGCATTATAACTGGGGAGCACTATACAAACAACATTTCTTTGTCCAAAGCATATACATATACTGTTTTGTGTTTTCTGTCATAATAAAGATTGTGCTTTTCTGTTTTACATTGTGTCCAGTCTCACTATTTTTACCAACTCGGGTATTCAGAGAAACATAGTATTACTAAATATCTTTTTTTCAATCTCATGTTATTCTACAGACCTATCCTGTCACTCTAAGGGGGAATCAGTTTGACTTGAATATACCAAAGAAGGTAGTTTTTATGTGACCACAAATTTGAAGCATTTTGGTGCAATACTTGATTCAGGCTTAATTTGTGATATAAACTAAATTTTATTTTGTGATGGAAATACCTGTTAAATGTTTATTGTTAGAACTACTCACCTACAGTAATAACTTTAGAGCAACATATGAATTATAAGTATCCCATCAGGTCAATAAAGTTGGCAATGAGTGTGTGGGTTACCTAGTGACTCAAAATTAGTTATAATGTCCTTTTTTTAGGATTTTGCCAAAGATCAAGTCCTAAATATACAACAAAAGCTTCAATTAAGTCTTATTTTAAGGCTACATTTATGCTTATTTCAAAGTCAAAGGAATGTCTTTCTAATAATATACATATGTTTTTTGTAGAATACCACCAGGCACCTCATCAGAGTTGAATGATCTTCTTCTAAGATTATTGAAAAGAAATGCGAAAGACAGAATGGATTTTGGTATGATTCAACCACAATTTAGAAATAAATTTAGAAATGTTTAGTCTATTTTTGTGCCCTTAGTCCACTTACATGTATCCTGCCATCATTGTGAGAGCTGTACTTGGGTTGGTAACTAGAATAAATACACTGATATTGCTAGAATATCTCTTACATATTTTGTTTCACATCCATCCAGTTAATCCTATCTGAAACAGAAGAAACATGGTTTTATAGTATCATGTTCAACCAAACTATGTGGTTTGCTGTTACTTGCTACTAGGTAGTATAACAAAGCTAAAAACTATGTGCTTAGACCAGTCAAATCAGATTACAGGGTCAAGTTTCTCCTACTTATCCTGTAGTTTTAATAATAAGGACAAGGTAGCAAAATTGTAATATGCTTCATTTTAGCTATTAGATAAACATTAGGAATAATGTTTTTGGTGTAATCTTGGAAATTTATTTTGTTTTTGAGAATACTGTGATAAGTGTTGATAAACACACTTGCGTATTTGTATACTTGTTCACACCATGTCATAATGAAACACTGATCAATCTGTATTTGATTAAATTTCCTAAAATTTCTTCCAATTTAGAGTTCAATGTAAATTTTTTTATATGCATGTGACTGTTATAAAAGTGTGTGAAAAAGAATTAAGGTAAAAACTTGACTTTTTTTTTAAAGTAAGTAATTGATATTCAGACAAGTACAAAGTTATATTTTTATATTTTGTGCAATGTTTAATAACTGGGAAAACAATGGTTAGTGCTTAAATCAGTGGTAAACATTGTGTTACTTGTAGATATAAAACAGAATTTTAAGTATATATGAAAACAATGGCAGTGTTCTAATATGGATGAAGTTAATGGTAAAAACTGTGCTACATCTAAATGTAAAATATACTTGTGTAAAGTTTATTGGCTGGGAAATCAGTGGTAAAGTTCTGCTAAGACTGAGGTTAGAGGGCAGTTATTTTATTTGTTGATATAAAATATTTTAAATTGATAGAATGTGGTAGCAGTAAAAGCTGAACTAAATTAATACGTATCTTTAATGTGTAATGAAAATATTCCTACACATTGTAGAAGTTATATTTACATTAAACTGTGCTTAAAATAAGTGATGCAAAATAAACTTGTAAGTTAGAAAACTAGAAAATAATCTGGTAAATATAGTTTCCCTTTCAGTTAAGTGTGATTCAACAAGAAAAATGTTTTGAAATGAATAAAAGAAGTGGGGTTATGTGTATAATACATTCATAACAAAATATAATTATGTTTGGTGAGGATTATATGATTATATTTTGTAAAGATGGGGAGAGGATCAACTGACCCCTGCCTCATAAAAAGTGACACTCCTTTAGAAAAATAAATTTATTAAAAAAAAAAGTAACAACCAGCTACTTTCACACCTTCTCCACTCAGATATAACAAGCCAATGAAGAACAAAAAATAAGAAGAATTTTCAGAATGTGGAAAAAGAGCTGAAAGTTGCAAACCTTAAGAAAAAGTAAAATCTAAGATCTGACTAATTCAGTTTGTTTTATTACATAACTCTTTATCTATCATGTGTGTCCTAGTAACTGTAATAATGCTAAACTTGCATGTGTATCATCTTCCTAAGGTTTATCAATTATATAAATTTGAATTTAACATTACTTCACTTCTTCCCTATATCTTGACATTTACGTAAAAATGCTTATTGATTTAAGTTGTACTGTTGTTAGTATGTTAAAAAATATAATTGATATTATTGTTAAACTACATAATGTTCTTCAGATATGTTTAATGCTAGGGTGGAAAAGACTGATAGGTTAAAAAAATTAAATAATCTAAGAAGTATAAAGAGTAAGTGGTGAATGTTGTGAAATAAAGGGAAATATTGTATTTACTTTGTTACTTTGGGTATTACTAAGAAGTCTGTTTGAAATTTTGTATTTTGTTTTCTAGATGAATTCTTTTCTCATCCCTTTTTGAAACCACCCACAAAGAAAAGTAAGTTAATGCATGTATCTTCTGATTTCTCCATTCAAGTTTGTTTAAGAAGTGACTAAATAGGGTACATTATTCATATAAGACATAATATGAATGTAAATATGGTACATAACATAGTTTTGAGAATGTAAGTCATTTGCTTTTATTAAAAATCATTACTCAAAATGTCATTGATGTAACCCTCTCTCCACAGGCATCTTTTTCCTTGCATGTCACAAGGTTTTTATGAGTTCCATCCAAAATTTAATTAAACTACTTTCTTTTTATGGTATTCCAAAATATAATATAATAGTATAAAACATAGCTAATAATCCATATTTTAATAGTATATAAGTTTTAAGTTCTTACTTTTATAAGGTAATGTTAAAAAAAAACAAAAAACTAGAATTTCCTGTAGTGTGAGAATTGTAAAATTTGCTCTCTAGGCATCCCCTCTTCTCTAATTTATTTACCACCCCTCTAAGAAGTATGAAATTTAAATGTCAGTTACTTAATATAATATTGTAATTGCTCAGATAAAGCATAATTTTCATAGCCTTCAATATAACATCGTTACAGAGTTATGAAATAAACAACCGACTCCTCTTGCCAATTCTCACCTGTCACATCCTTTCTTTCAGAAATTGCCAATAGTTCTCTCTGACATTCAATGCTATAGTATTTATAACCAATAGAAAGCCAAGATTTTCAACTGTCAAGTAACATATTAAATTATGTTGTTTTCTGTAAAGAGAATTGTCAATTTCTCTTTCGGTTCAAGCTTGATTCCCATGGGAAACGCATCGACGAACTTAGATAAAGGTTTAACGGCTCTTTTTGCATAGTTAGAAAGCTAGAATAATTGTGGTAGTTGTGGGAAATTCTCTGCTTTCTTCAAGTTACTATTCTGTGTTCTTTGGTGCATTATTCAATTAAATAAAAAATTGTTTAGGACAGTACTTCCATTAGTATATAAAAAAAAGTATGGTTAAGTGTCATTGACAGTTGACAGCAAAAAAAGAAAAGCTGGTTAAGTACTTTATTCTTGTTTTTTATGTGTATTCTTTATTTCTTATTACAAAAGTAACTAAAATGTAAAAATAGCAAACTTTTATGTTAGTTAAGGTTATAGTAGGTAAAATAAATAATAAATTGACTAACTTATGGAACATTGTCTGCTTTCTTCAAATTATTATTCTGTGTTCTTTGGTGCATTATTCAGTTAACCCTTTTGAGATGGGTCATGGGTGAAAGTCCATGTCATTTTGTTTGTTGACTTGCATTCAAAATGTTATTGAATTACTGTTTCATGAATTTATGTCAATAAGTTTGGTATCAAACTGTAGATTATAATTCAAATTTTAGTCCTATACATTACTCAGTTTCTTAATTTTAAAGCAAATATTAAAAAACACAGATAGGTGTTGATTTATGTGTGTCACGTGGTATGTTGAATGCAGCACTGGTTCAAATTAGATGTTTGTGAAGTCAAAATACTAAGTCTATAGTTTCGTACAAATTATTAGGTCATCAAGAAATTAATGTTACATTTTGGAACACTTTCATCAACCACCCCCCAAAAATGTACATCACATATA